CACTTATTCTCGTGAAAATCACTTATTCTCATGAAAATCAAGGCTGCCTTAGGGCCAGGCGCAGAAAAGTTCTCTGCTGCTGAGCCGGTGCCGGTGTGGATCTGACCCGCCTGCACCTGCCCTCCTGCAGGCAGAGCTGTGCCTGGCTCCTGGGTCTGAGTGTGTGTGCGCCTGGACACCAGTCTCTAGTAGATAGTAACGCTGCTACTGCACAGTAAATAAAAACGAATTTTAATTGTTTTTTTAATTTAACACTGCTGAAACAGGAGTTTAAAAAAACCAAACCCAAACCAACTAGATAAGCCTACTGAAAATATTATCTGTAAGATCCATACTGATGACTCTACAGATCAATTTTGCAAGTATTTTCTGTGCAATCAATTTGCTTTCCTCACATGAAATTTATTGCACACTAATCACCAGAGTTTCCTGCTCCTTTCTACTGTTTTAGAGGCAACTAAATGAAGAAAATGAGCAAGAGATTCTGTTATGATGTGCATCGTTAACAGGATTGTTTATTAAACTCTTAATCAGAACATCTGCTTGCTTGCTTGTTCATCGAAGACAAAGAGTAATCTGGTTACTGAAACACTTACAGCTGCTTGAGATATGCAGTCAGGAAGAATTATCTCTGAATTTACAGTGAACAGAAAATGCCACAATGGTGTACTTAAAATAGAGGCATGTACAATAAATTGTTAACGAAATCTTTTACTCTCTTCAAAACTAAAAAGGTTGGGACAGCATCATCTCGTGCTTTAAGTCAAAAGGCAAAGCAATTCCTTGATATGTTTTTGAACTTAACATTTTCTGACCAGAAAGAACATATCTCATTATATTTTACGTATGTACCATCACAATTGGCACCGTTACGGGCACAGAATGGAAGAAACAATGTTCTGTAAAGGAATTGTAGTTTCTGTTACAGTTTGAAAGAGGAAGAAGAAATAACAATAATCTCGATACAGTGATAAAGAAACCTAACAAGAAGCTGAAGTTTACTCCTCTGTCTGCATTTTTTTTCCAAAAGCAGTCAACAAAATAAATCAGTATCAAGAAAAACATTTCATTTGCAAACAAGCGTTCATAGCCATCCACCAAATTGCAGTTTGTTTGGTAAATAGACTCTGGAAAGGTAATCTGATGAAAGAGAAGTTAAAACTTGAATTTCAGCCTTCAGTTTAGATGCTGCCATAATTTCCAGCTAGAAAAAAAGAAGAAAAAAAAAAAAAAGAACAGATTAATGTGTGATGCTGTAACAGCCTGATCCAGGGCTAGGTAATTTTTTAAGCAGGAATTACACTTGCTGGATACACATGTAGAACTGTAAAGTTGGTATTACTGGAAATGGTGCTGTGAAATCCCTGGCACTGAGCTGTGATTCATTTTACTGTATGTTCATGTGTTCTGTAGTGGGTACTTCACAGTAAGACAAACGATTTCTAAGATGAGTATAACCAGGAAGGCGAAGGCACACAATACCTTTTCTTCCTTTCTAACCATTTCACACAATATACACCTGAATTGAGATATATGGTTTAAAAGCTGACAGCGAGATAAGAGGTCTAGTACTGAGTAACTAGCTGCTGTAAGCATTCCCCTACTTGTAAAGACGTAATATATTCTGTAATATTTAGGAAAGTAGGAAAATCCCATGTACAGCATATGATCATCAGACGACTAATGGCAGGAAAGCTTGAAATGCTGCCAGTTCTGGCCTGTGAGCCATTGAGGCCCACTGATTCAGAGACAGTGGGCATGGGCTCTCTCAATCCTGCCTTATTTTAAGGCTGTAAAACCTTACTGGTTCTGCTATGTGAGGAGTTTGTTAACATAAAGAGGAACAGGATTGCAGATGATGAGATTTGCCCTGTGGGGAGGAAACAATAGGAAACAGCAGGTGTATACATACTTCTCTTTTCCACATTGGCTGACAAGCAATGTAAGGTCTCTTCTGTATACTTGCTAACTTATTTTGATCTTGCTTTGTAAATGGAATCAGGACATCTCTGCGTATATTTAATCTGAAAAGAAAGTAACATTGTTAAATTTTCTGATAAAAATATTTATTTCAACTTACTTCTTTATATTAAACCAAAATAATTTATTAAAAGATTAATGGATTTAAATGTCAGTTGTCTTTCTTTTGCATTAAGTCAGACTGCATTTCCTGTCTATGGAACAGAAAAATACTTCTGTTTCTTTTGGGGAAATGACTAACCTCTCAAGATCAGATGGAAGGAGACCAAGCCACTTTATAGATGGAACGGTGAGATGATGGGCCTCGAAAGACATTGACTAAAATAAGAAAGGTCAACTATAACATTCAGTGACTTTTAGTTTAAATTATTTGAGATACATGCCTTCCAAGGTCATGGTCAGATTTTATTACAAAGATAATTAAGTACTTTCACTATGAGAATGGTATAGAGAAAACAGAGCAACTGAAGCTTACCATCTTGTCATCTACAGCACCCTACTGCAAAGTATCACAGTTAAATTTCATGTTGTATAAGGGAATACTTCCATTGGGGGGTTTTGTGGTTTGGTTTGGTTTTTACTTCTGATGTTCTTTCTCTGTTGCTCTACTGAACAGTTCACCCAACAACTGTTCTTGCCCTCTGCCTCCACATTAGTCTGTCTGCCTTCTGTACTGTTTTTCTGTACCTCATCTTTTACCAGCGTAATATAATAATGCCTTCTTGTTCCCTTTGCCTCTTCTTCCATAATGTTCCACACCAACACATGTATCCACAAGCGAATTCTCACCCCAAAACAAAATCTTTACCAACATAACATGATTTTGTGGAGAATCACCCATCTTTCAAGTTATGTCCTCCTCCTCCCAAGGTCCCTCCAGCCTTCATTTCTCTTCTAAGGCAGAAACAAAGCAAACTGGAGAACATGTTTCTATTTGGGCTTCCTGAAAACTGCCTGTGCAGCAGGGAAAAACTGAAATATAGTTAAATGAATCACCTGTCATTGTTATCCAGTTTCTTTTTGTTGCAGGAAGAAGCTGTTTCTGAAAGGCCTAAAAACTGTGTCTTTATGTTTAAACAAAATGGTACAAGGCAGTAACCGTTCTGACAAAGGCTGTAACATTTCATACATTCCAGCTTCAAGGCTGGGCCACAAAACAATATATTTGAAGTCGAAAAATTATACTTACCACGGATCCATATTTGTAGATGCACATTATTTCTACACCTAGGTTGCAGAATATCAAATGTCAAGTATCTGTTTATCTGCACATTGGGCATCTTTAAGAAGACTGCATTAAGAATTCAATTTTATGGCATAACAGTTAAAATTTTATGTGAGGTTCTTTATGGTTTACAATTATTTTATAGTATGTCAAAATAATCAGACTTTGAGCATAATATGTCACCTTTATCTAGTTAAATGCTTCACACTGTCTGCATAGTCATTTCAAAATCAAGGATAATTGGCTCTTGTCCACATTGTTCAACATCACAAGAAGTGTCTTTATCCTGTGTAATCTGTATCTTTTAGTACTACTGCTTTGAGCAACTGTGGCTCATTTTGCAGTAATCTCTGTAACTTCAGGTGGTATCAGTGCAGATACAGAAGAGATTTTCTACATTTTGTGTATGTGAATTCAGATTCTGAATTCAAGCACAGACATACACACTGATATACACAGTGTTCTTCATGAAATGAGGGAAATATTAGACCTGCCACTGATGTAACAGAATAGCATATCCAGATGTGATGGATTTGGTTTAGGATTAACTTTATTCCTGCTGGCACTAGACTTGTAGTTTCTAGATTTCACTACTGTACACTATTGACATGGGTGCTGAGTTATTAATGTAAGTGTATGTGAACTACTTTAAAACCAATAAAAGACTCACTTTGCTCAAACACACTATTTTCTTTGTGTCTGTCTGGCCTAACATCTGGTTCATAACATCGATAAAAAAATTTTCTTTATACCAAATTGAGCAACATTTACTGAAGTTCCTGTTATTTCTTTTCATCTTACAAGAGCAATAGTATAGCCCACAGCTAGAATTCTTGACAGAGCAACATTTTCAATGGTATTGAACTCTAAAAGATATAGCTAGGACCTCCTGAGACTTATAGAAGTGGTCAAGTGCCTAACTCCCATTAAAATCAATGGAACCATGCAATGGATCATAAAATTCCCTTGTCCTTATCCTTATTTTTAGGCCCAGAGGTACTTTCAAAATCTAGCTCTATTCTGAGCAAAGAATTCTGTTTAAAAAGATTCTTATTAATACCTCAAAGCACAACAAATCATCAAGTATTCAATGGGCATGTAAAGCCAGTACTGATGTTTCAGTTAAACTCCTTATGTACTAGATATATTCTGCATAAATCAGGAATGTTTGATTGTGTTGGATCTCTCTGCTCTGAGTACCTTCCCATAAAAGTGAGAAAAGACATTCTAAGTAAATTTTGCTTTCCTTTTGTGTCATTGAAACCTCTACAGATTTACCGTGTGGATCTGCATCCATAAGGGTGAAAACAGGAATTTGAAAAGTATCCCACAGTCTTCTGACCAAAAGTCGTGTGTTAAGATCTGGTACACCTCTTCCCTAAGGAAATAAAATAAAAGCAAACAGTTTAAATTAATTAAAACAACTTCTGACTACTTACGTGTTTACATTTGTCATTTAAAAGCAAGCAAACAAAATGCTGACAGAAATATATCTCCAGCAGCTATTTTGGGGGGAAAGTTGTACACTCCTATTTTGGCTCTGTGAGGAGGGAAGGAGGAACAGCACGGCAGATGTCCTGGATTACAGGCACTGTGGACGTATCATACATTCCTCTATTTAAGGAGTTAACTCCTAAGATCTGGAAGCTGCTGTATAGATGCACCCTCATATCTCTATAAGCTGGTGTAAAAAGGCCACTTTTTGCTTCTCAAAAATATTTATGGCACTAATGAAACAATATAAACCAAGTTCTTGCTATGACTGACTCTAACTGGACAGTATGCTGCACCGTATAAATGCTTGTCTCTCTGAGGTATGGGGAGATGTTTTTTTCTTTGTTATGGGACAAATTTGTCCCAGAACAAGTAGGTATGCATATTCCATTTACTATTCCATTCCTGTTAATTCTGCAGGCTCCATAGCTCTTTCAGCACAATCCAAAACCAACCACTTCTGTTTCTTTTGGGTTTGCTAAACCTGGGATCCTGAAGGACAAAAGGTTACTCAGCAGTTAAGCCTTTCTGAGACTGAGCGGGGCAGCTACTTTGCAGCAGCACATGAAGTTGATAAGCTACCAACCTCTAAGGAGATGTTGGGAGGAAATAAGTCTTTAGAACATGTATTTTGTATTTCTATGAGGAAAATAAAATTGAAAAAAATATTTAGACATGTTTCATGTTAATTTTATTACAGTCTTTTGACCAAGTTTGAGCACCACTACAATGCTAAAGTATCATTTAAATTCTCATGTCTAGCTAGAGAATATGAAATGTAAGGTGCATACCGTAATCATTATACACGGGGACAATTTATTGCAGAAGTCATCATCCAAGAGTCTCTGAAAAGTTGCATCTTTTTCTACAATTAACACAAATTTGGCATGTGAGATTAAATCTTTTCTGTTAAGGCTAGCTGCATGTAAAATGATCCATCACACCAATCAATTAAAACTAAATGCTCTAAAATACCTGTTCTGGAGCCAAAAGCAGTGTTCGTGACTCAATTTCAGAGCCAACAAGCAAAGAAAAAATTACCAGAACATTGTTTAACTTGGAATATTCTTTGTTTTTACTTTATTTTTTCAGTCTACAACGAGAGTTCTTGCTCAAAGGATACTTTTAATTCCTTGAACATTAGATGGCACAGTGACTGCCTAAAACAACAAAAATGAGATTAATAATTTTAAATAGAGAAAATAATATATTTTAAAATAACAACATTAGGTAATGAAGGACAAAATTACATCCTGAAACAACTATTCTTCTTCTATATAAAAGATCAATCTTGACATTTTCACCTCTTTATAAGCATATTAAACCATTCATATCCTGCTCTGTTTTACGGTTATATAGGAGTCCTCCTGTTATAACAAGATGCTTTTCAAAAGGATTTGTGCTACTGTCACAGAAAATTGTTCCTCATATGGGCATTACAGAGATAACAATGTCCTGATTAATTTTTTCTCTCTCATAGCCAGAAAAAAAAGTCTGCTTGGTGTGAATATTGCAAATATAATACAGACTTAAAACATTTAAGTATTCTTTTTGGAAGACCATTAAATCCTTTCTTTTATTAACCTATAACCTGATTTTATAACTGTTTTGGAGCAGCAATTTTAAGACACAGTTATGTTTACTTTAGATCTGATATTAGGATTGGCTCAATCTGGCAAGCATATGGATGAGAAAACAGGAACTGGAGGAAGAACTTGGGAAAAGAGTGTGTGTATATTGAAGTGTGTGGTCTGTTTTTACTTCTGACTGCTAAATCACCTCCTGTGCCAGGGTGAAACAAATCAACAAATACAAATACAAAGAGCTGTAGAAGAGCATTAATAACAGGGGTCTTCACGTTCTGCTTAAAAACAAAGTACAACAGGCAGCTAAGGTTATCTTTCCATTTTGAAATTACTGATTCAGGCTTTCAGTGAACTCATATTCCAGGAAATCATGGCAACAGTCAACAAGTCTGAGTTCTGTTCTGATTTCATAGTCTGCACGGCTATAGGAAATCTTTCAGGACTAGATTAGTTGCATCTCATCTTCTCAAACCACTTTTGGCTCTTGACTCTTATCAAACCATGGTTATAAACTTCTCTTTAGCTCAGTACCACCTTTGATAAAATTAGTTGAGAACACAAGCCCTTCTAATGTCTGTAATCCCTGTATAAGTGATAAAGCTGAGACCAAACAGCCTGATGTTATGTACCTTTGGTTGTACAGTGCTGGGCACGTGAAGACAATATCAACTCTTATGCTGATGAAGTATCAACATTAAATTTCTATAAATGAGAACATAATTTGGGTCCAGAAAGAGATTTATTCCTCTAACTATAGAGGCTCAGTGTGCTGTTGCTACTAGAGGAGTCTGCCCAGTGTGGTAGAAGAATCTCATTGAGGACCATACGAGTATGTTAACTCGTGCTGCAAGACTTGTTTTCTTACTCTGCCAGAAATCAATCTATCGTGACAGAAATGAAGGATGTTTGGAGTGCCCGGGATTCTTTGATTCAGAACACTTATTGGACAGAACACTGTACTACAAAGCCTAAGATACACAAAATACATGCCTTCCTCTGCAAGGCTCCCATGGTAGGAGGTAGCGCTAAAAACCCTATCCAAAGGATATATTCCTGGTGAGCATGTAGCTGAGCCTCAGAATTGCAATAGAGTTGAGCACTACTTCTTATCTCTCTCTTTTTTTTCCCCCAGATTGCAATGTCTTAGTTTGCCACAAGCACAGTCTGTATAATAAATGTATCCAGGAGCCTGAGCTACAAGAAGTGCAGGATATCACGCAAAGGTAGATGCTATGAATTACTGTTACTGTTTTATAATACATACTGTTGCAGTGCAGGTACAATTCACTTTTGTACCATCTTCCTCAATGTAACTTAAATTACCAGCAACAAAACCTTTAGTTGTAGACAGCTGAAAAAACAGAAAGTTGTATACAGTAAAGTGGAAGCTACATGGTTTTATGTTATTATAGTGCACAAGCAAAACAAGATAGTTCTGAAAAGGATTTTGATCGGTAATAAGCAGTTGTTGGCTGCCATTAACCTCTTAAACACTAAACAGTGTTACTGTCATCACAGATATAAAGGCATACTTACAATAAATTATGTTAACAACTTCATTTTTAGATACAAATAAATTATTGTAAGGCATGAGAGATAGGTAAAATTTGAAAAGTGGTTACATCTCTGACATACTTTAAATTTTCCTTTAACCCTCAAGTTAGCAAATTGCTAAGCAGAGGGCTTGCCCTCTGAAGTTCAAGCACTGCCTGCGCTAGATAACAGCACAAGGCCCTGTGATTTTAGCTGGCAGTTTGTCCCAAGCTCTTTGGAGCAAACAAATTCCATGTATAAATTTTCTCTGAAGAAAGAAACCTTTTCAGGGCTATGATAAACCACAATTTGGTTTCATTTGCACAAATGATGCTTTTTATTTTAACTATGTATTTCTTACTGATAACTGTTCTTGATAGTTCACCTTTCAGTTCAATCTATATGATTTGGAAATAATGATAAAAATATTCATAACATGCCACTTACTATATGTAGACTTCTCCGAGGTATCTTAAGCATGCAAGAAATGTCATTGATTATATTGTCCACAACACTTTGGCTACCAAACAGTAGTGTATCTGAATAATATATATCTCTATCAAGACAAAATAGTGTATTTGTAATTATAATACTGAAACAGCTGTAAGCTCACGAGAATTTTATAGAGAGCATGGATAATCAGATCAACCTAAAGCATTTTATGTACAGGAATCCATTATCCTACAGGTTGTTTTTCACAATAACATTCTTAAAATACAACTTTATTTGAAATTACAGAAATGTAGTTTGTTACCTTTTAGTTGCATAAGTATTGCTCTGCACCATCTTATAGATCATAGATAGTATTTTGAGTATCAGAGCTGAAAAAATACATTTTACAAAATATTTAATCCATTTTCAGAAATGCATATACATTAATTTGTCTTTATATTGACCCATATTTGTGTCTTATAAAATAAAACTTTGAAACATATATTTTAATGTGCTGTGAAACTACAGAGGCACTGTACTAATCAATAGACTCAATAATTTCTACCATAATTAGAAGTATGATCGAGTTAATTAAAGGAACGTATGCCCTGCTGTCCAAGCCAAGAAATTAAATGACTGAGTTAGAAAAAAGAAATTAGCTTATTGTCCATATTCCAAGATTCCTTTACTAGCTAGCTTTTTGAATAAGGGTGATGTTTTTACATTGAGACCTTTTGAATATTCCTTCAGCTGATACTCATTCAGGGAGGGTAGAAACTGTAAGAATGGTGTATTAATTTCACTGTCACTCACTGTAATTTAATAGAGAAGAGAAATGCTGAAGGGCTGGTCATGATATCAGGTTCTATTAGCCACACACTTCTAAATCACAGTGCATAGTATTTTTTTAATTTTTTTTTGGGGGGGTGGGGGGGGGTGGTTTACAAAGTTTTGAACTAAAATACAAGAAAAAAACCCAAGAATTCTGCTTTTGAACTTTTTTAACTTACCAAATTTTGGTGCTGACTTAGGGCAGTCACTTCTTATTTGTCTTGTAGTACATTGTGGTATCATCTGTAGACCTACAGAATCTTTAAATCTGATACATTGCAAACAAATACAATAAAATGGTAAACTTATTTAGTGAATGAAAATTATTCTCTGCAAGGTAATTTTGACTCAGACCCCTTTCCTACAATCAAATATGCTAGTGCTATTTTTAAACTCAGTACAGAAGCCATCACCTTGGGAGGCATTGGAGTGGCAAAAGGAAAAGGCAGACAATACTCATCATCTGCCAAATGACCGTTCAAAATGTTACTGAACTGCCCCCCAACTGATCAGTGGCTTCAAAACGTAAAAGAGTTTCACAAGAAGATGCTTCAAGACTGAATTTAAACCTAAAATTCATAAGTTTCCAGACAAAGGTAGAGACAAGAAAAATATCTTATACATGTTTATAACTGTTAATATATCAGCATCAATTATTATTTAGCACTAAAACAAAGGAATAAATGACAGGAAAAAAATGTGAATCATTATTATAATACAAATTAAGTCTGACACAGTGACTTTCTGATGTAGAATGTATGAACAAGTGTTATTATTTCATATTATAATAATATGAAATAATTTATGGCCTGAAATTATTATCAGAATAACTCAATTATATTCCATTATTAACTTCTGAAAACAAAAATGTTAGTCCATCCTATTTCCTAAACAGTTGTTTAATGTAAATGAGCTCCACTATTTTGTGCTTCATCATTTCACGACTGAAGGTGCACATTTCACCAAAAGAATCCGTTATTTTCTTAAGGACACTTCATTATTTTACTTAAAATTATTTTAGTGCCTTATAACAGTCCTGTCTTTCGAGCATTCTTTTCAATGTCAGAGTTTTTCATGTCCTTTTTAAAAAGTATTGGTGATAAATTGGCCATAATTTTATCTAAAACCTCATAATATTTCTAAATTTGTCAAAGCTTTTGCTCTGTGCATCCTTTGGGTGGCAGAACACACCACGGTGCACGTAGATACAGCAACAAACAGCACAGGGCAGCATCTTACCTTTGTGCTACAACATTGACCAGGTATTTGTGGGTTTGACTTGCTTCCTACACTGTAACTGCACGGGAGTGACAAAACAGCAATCAAAACTTGGCCGGAGTGCTCTCTGGGGTTACATGAGGGAGGCTCCTTTCAGAAAGCTGTGTGCTGGAGAACCCCAACTGTGTGGCTCCCACAGGTATTTCATAAAGGCAACTGCAAAGTGGCACTAGGATGGACATCCAGCAATTCTTCCTAGGATTGTGTTTGCCCCAGCAGAGTGGTTTTCTATAAAATCTTTCCACTAATGAGAAATCTATGATTTTTTTAAATTTATTTTTTTTTCCCCCTAGAAAAATAAAGCTGGACAATGGAAACTGTAATGCTTTAGGCCTGGCATTCTCACTGATTGACATCATTCTCCAGTAAATACCTCTCTGGGCATCTACAAATATTTACAAGGAACATTTCAAACATGAAATCATTCTCTTGTTCTATTAGTTCCTGCCCAGCAGATTCCAGCTGCGTAGATTGGGTATGAAAATACTGCCTAAAAAATAAAAAAAAGCCCCACTGACTCTATTTTCTTCCATTCATATTATATTTTGGCATTCTATTTTTATTTTTATTTGTCTATTTATTTTTATTTTAATCTTCTTAAACTGCTGTATTAAAGTGGGATATAAGTCACTATTCAACGGAAATGCATATTTGAGATTCTATTTCTGCACCATAAATAATAGTTCAGCTTTTTTTAATGTGATTGATGAGTCTTATTTTTAACATACTGTGATGTTAACTTGTTTTAATTTGAGTGGTTTCCCCCCCTATGTGTTCTGTAACATCTCACATTTGTTTTTGTAGCCTGGAATGCCATTTCCCTGAAGACTGCCAAAAATTGCAAAACTTTGTTACAGTATTTTAATTTTACAGACATATGAGTGAAACATTTCTGTCAAACTATCAAGACTCAAACCACCATTAAATTCCCTGGAACATACAAGACTTTCAGTTAACTGATCACCTTCAGGCCCCTCAGGTTTTTTGATTGACAGAAATTTATTGTTCTCATTAAATGAGTATTCCACCGAAGCCTTACGTGTGGAAGGTTTGCTATGCTTTCTCAACCTCAAATATTTGTGCTGTGTCCACTTACAAGCACCTCTGCAATCTTACCAATCTAAATATCCTTTAACCCACTGACGTCCAAAACTATTACAGGGCAAGAAATGGATTTGCATCTTCCTTTATCCTTTTGCTTCTGTATTATAGAAAGCAATTATATCTCAGTTTAAGGTATTTACACTTTAAAAGAGCTCTCCTTGGGAAAATGCTGCTGCACAAGCAACTTCTACGAATCACCAAGTGTGTTATAAAGGAGGACAGGTTGCTTTTTCTCTGATCCTGTCTAGATAAGCTGGCATAAGTTCTGAAATTTAGATAACATATTAGAAACTTGGTTTGCTTGATTTGGCTGGTAGAACTGAAATTAGAACACAACACAGAGGCAAGAAATATAACAGGAAGAAGTGGGATTCATCTTATCTGAAGAACAAAAAGATACATTAATCAATATCATTTTAAGAAATAAGATACCATGAGGAAAAGCAGAGAAAAAGAAAAGAGGAAGCTCAGAAAGGGCATTGGAGGATGAAATTGCTAGTAATTGTTTCCAGCCTAAAACAGATTTTTTTTTTCAGTCTAACACAACTTACAATTTCTGGTTTCTACTGCTTCCAGAAAATGATTGTTTACAGGACCTCCCTTTCCTTTCTAACCCCTATTACAGTAGTTTTACATTTCCCGTTATGCTGTGGTCTGCTGTTACTTAGTACACGATGCCTGTTCATGCAGAATGGTTACTAAGCATTACTTTTTATCTATCTGTTACTTTTTAAGAAGTCAAATTCATTATTGATTCTAATACTTATAGAATTATATAACATCAATTTTTCTGGAAGTTACATAATCAAATTTACATTCATGGCATTTATATTAATATAAGGCAGGACATCAAAATATAGAATACTTACTCTATATTCCTCCAATCTGATCTGTTAGCCAGTGTGAGAACAGGTGCATTTTTTTGGGCCAGGCTTTTAAGTACATCGTGAATAACGTTCTCTATCGCTTCAAGAACTTCAGAACTGAAACAAAGTAAATTAATGATACAGTACATACGATAAAATCTCGTGCAGCTTTGAGTTTTGATCCTGTATCCCCACCCCTACAAAAATAATGTAATTCAGAACTGCATCAAGGATTTATTTTTTTTTTTCCAAAATGTGGAGGAGCGCTTTTGGTTTTTAATTTTATTTTGCTCAGTTTCCCTAAATTCTTTGACTTTCCATTCCAGACACGTGACTGAGGACACAGTTAAAAGTACATTTCTATTCAATCCTGAAACCATCAATTTTTTCACCAGCTGAACTGTTAGATGAGTCACAAACTGGTTGGTTTGTGAGTAAGGATTAAGGTTTTACTATAAATGATGTAATATTGGCTTTGGCTATGATTTAGGCTAAGTTGTTTTTAAATGCTGTAAATTTTAAAGATGTTTAAGAGCACAAATACTTCCTGTTGTACCATTGCACGTTAACCTTTTGATCTGCTGCCCTAAGTAAACTGTTAAGAGTTTTAATTATAGGAAGGCTTAGTCTCAATAGATGCACTGTGAAAAGAATAAAATCTGTATCTTTCACCTAAAAGACAAAGTAACCTTGCAGCAGATCTTTTACAGTGAAACTGTAGGCTGGTTTGAGTGTTATGACAGATGCTTTTTAATTTCATAAGCAATCTGATGGTAACATTTCAGCTGTCCTTAAAATTACAAGTGTACTATATACCATCAGAAGTCGAGGTAAGAATGAAAAGAATAGACAAAACTTATTTTAGTTCAAAGTTTTATCAGCAAAGTCCAATTTTGTCATTAAGTAATATACTAAGAAAAGATGAGTCGATACAAGTGCACACCACACTAAATGAATTATCCCTCTGTTACAAAATCAGCAAGAATAATTTTTAAAACCCAGCAATGAGTCTCAAACAATAATGAAGTGTCATTAAAGCTCTCTTCTATCAGCTGAATATGTTTCTTCCATTTCATAGCCCAGCTTCCACTTACTCCTCATTCTGCTGAAACTAGTTTATCATTTTTTGAAAACCATTTCTGGAAAGTATTCCTCTTTTATTTTAAAATGTTATTTGTAATAGTATCTGTACAAAAAAAAAAAACCAACCCTACTAACATTTTTGTCAAATAATATTAAACTATTCAAAAAACACAATGCAAGATTTTTTCCTGGTTTTCAGATTAATAAACTTGGACACAGAGAGAATAAGGGTTTTCCAAAGGTGAAACAGTGAAGCATTTGCAGTGCTGATAGTACAAGGTGGCCTGGTCATGCAGCCAATATGTAAATTTATTTTCTACTGTATTGTAGTTTCATAATCAAGTCCAAGATTCCCTAACTTACAGTCTTATAGACTCATCCTCCTAATTAAAATCCTACATCTCACTGCCATATCCAAAATAGAAATTCTGTTAAGCATAGAGGAAATGGTTGGCTGGTGAGCTAAAAGTTTAATGCAGTAAATGGTAAGAGTAAAATAGGTGAGCAAAGCTGACTATGGTGCACCCCTCCAACATAAAAAATTAGAGCGATGAAGGCAATACAAATATGTATGGGCAGATGGATGAAAGAACAGACAGGTAGAGAGGAAAACTAAACCATGTAATTGCATTGATACTCATAAATATTTTTACTTATTCATTTGGTTCTCTCCACTATAACTGTCTTAACATTCCAGATGTAGTTCAAAGTTTGCTGCAGAATCTGAAAGTCCAGGTCTCTATTCCAGTCTCAATTTCCCAATTTATTGGCCAACAGAAATTGTAAAGTGGCAAAGTAGGAGGAAGAGGACAGCAATTTTCTGTGTAGCCCCTGCTGATAGTCTGTCTCCGTTTGCAGAGATTAACTGAATTATAATAAGTAAACATACAATACTGGCCAAGTATGCCTACTTGAAATTCACTCTGGTTTAGTTAACAGAGAAATCTGAGCAGAGAAGGGGCAGGTATATCTCACAGGGTTTGCCTGATCATTTCTAACATGTTGCAGCATGATTAGATACTTGTTTCTGTGTAGCACAAGAAATTATCTTCAACAGCATTAATAGAAAAAAAATATTATAACACCTTTAGCAAGCAAACAATATAAATACACAAGAGCAACAGTGACAAATAAAAATCTGCAATGTAATGAACCAACACACTCCAAAACCCAAACCTGCACATCGCTAAAGCCATACGGCTCCTGTACTCTGCCACAGAGATTAAGAACTCTCCAGGTCTTCATCATTATTATCATCATTATTATCATCATTATTATCTTTTTCCTTTTAAAATACTTTCATGATGCTCACAGTCTGTTCTAGCCTCTGAGGCTGATATACTGTGGACGGAAAGAGTCTTTAAAAAAAACAATGCGAGTTTTTTGTTAGTGAAATTCAGTATGTTTGCTCTGTCATGGTTTTCTGTATTTCTGTCTGTACCTACAGACTTTTTGGAGAGGTCTGAGGGAAAAGAGATGCTGTTTGCAGTGTCAGAGCTCCTTCTCCCCTGTGTTTTTGTAGGGGGAGGATGTTTTTCACTTTTGCACAAGCCCATTAGGTGCAATGGTGCACAACCTACTTCAGGATTACCACAGAAAGAGGGTATGGCTGCTGTTTTTCACATCTTTTACCTAGGAACGTGGCTCTCATGACCAGACAGACTTGTTTCCCTGAAGCTGGCCTTGTTCCCAACTGGCACTCCAGAGGAACACACACCGTGGTCCTCCATGAATGTTGATGCAGAGCAATCCAGCTTCTCCGGAAGGGATGAAGCCATGTTAAAAAGAGGCAAAAAAAGAGATTACCAAAGAAATTAGAAAAGGCTATTCTGCACGCTGGGCTTAAAACTCATGATCTGAGGTCAATATATAGTAGGTCAAGAGACAAAAAGTAGAAAGCTTTTGTAGAAAACAAAGTCAAGATTTTCCAGCCGTGACTGACTGAGGGCTCTTCCCGCCCTTTCTAACAGGCAGGAGGTGGCCCTGCCACCCTGAGGGCTCTTCCCGCCCTTTCTAACGGGCAGGAGGTGGCCCTGCCACCCTGAGGGCTCTTCCCGCCCTTTCTAACGGGCAGGAGGTGGGCCTGCCACCCTGAGGGCTCTTCCCGCCCTTTCTAACGGGCAGGAGGTGGCACT